ATTTCTTTCTGTAAGACCCTTTTTATCCTTTCTAAGGATTTTATGCGTCTAATAAAAATATATACAATATATATGCGATCGCTGTGGGATCTACCTAAGCCATCTTCAAACATGGAAAGTCTCCGCAACTTTCACGATACACTCGAAAGTTGTGTGCGTGGAATGTGTGGGAAATGTTAAGAAGAGTTGGTTCAAGTTCAGGAATGGAAGAATAAACCGCGTATGGACTGCAATAGATGACTTTATTGAACGAACTATGAATGAATCATGAACAAACAAGACGAACCAAAAAGGAACTGAAAAGGAGACGTTTCGTCTCCTATTTATATTATCAAAGTAAATATTGGCCTTGTTCATGAATGGTTACAATGAATATGGCCTTGTACATGATTGGTGAAAAGATAAAAGAGCTGATTGGTTGAAATTAAAACAATCTCATTGGCTGGCTAAATCTCAGTCAGAATCCTAAATTGTACTCAAGCTCAATTTTCTGACATTTCTCCGGGCCGCGAAATAAAATTCAGGTAAAAACTAAACAATAAATGGATATCGATAATAAACGCACGTAATAAAATTAGAAGGCAATAAACTACTGAAATTAATATCGATAAATGAAATATAAATTCAAACATGCAGTTAGAAATACATTGAGACATAGATCACACAAACTTTATAAACGAATTACAATAATGTCATAAGAGTTAGTTCAGTTCATAATAGTTAACATGTCAATTAATGTCCTGGATTCATAGTCGAGCAATAGCGGCGGCTGTTCTAGTAGAGGCTCGGCGATTAATGATTTCAGGCTCTGGTACACGTTCAGCAGCAGGTGATTCTTGAGTGTGTTCGGAAAACACATCGTGGGGATTTGCACACACTTCCAGTGGGTACAGTTTCGTCAGCGGGCGGTTTGTACGTCCAGATGAAGTTTTGATATCAACGGATCGCACAATTCCATCATTTCCATATTTCAGTCGTTCAACTTTGGCTAATCGCCAATTAATTCGTCGATCCGTGTCGCTGTGCACGAGGACTATATCACCGACTTTAACTGAATTGTCCGTTTTGCCTGTGTTATCATGTCTTTCACGTAGCGCGGTAAGGTATTCGGATGCCCATCGTTTCCTGAACAAATATAAACCTTTGTTTCCTTACAGCTTGTGGGTGTCCGGATGTAGAGCGCGCCGGTAAAGTCTACACCAGTGACAGTGAATGGTGGTGTCATGTTAACTCTGTATGATTGTAGAGGCGCAGCAACTGGTGCTCGGAAAGGGTATCCATTAACTTAGCGACAAGTTCCAACTTTCGAAGTAAATTCTTAACTATTTGTCGAATTCTTGGGATCCAGAATTTCTGACGGACATGTGTGATGGTAGATTGAACTCAACTGTGGAGTACGTGAGAATGTGAGTTCATGATAATGAGATCCGTTAATCGATGATGAGATGGTAGTAGGGCTGGAAATTTGGTTGCCATATCGAGAGGCGCATTGTGTATTCTCCCCCCGCAACGTACCATACCTTGATCATCCATGAACAGTTTCAGTTGCTTCACCAGTG